AATGAGAGAAAATCCCTCTATTTATAGTCAACAAATGGGTTGTATTAACATGTGCTTATTGTGCCTTATCTAAAGAGTCACGACCCTTTGGAAATGTATCCTTTGAAAAAGTCACAACTCATCTAAAAAGTCACAACTTATCGAAAACATCACAACTCATCAGAAAAGTTACAACCCTTTGGAAAAGTCACAACCCTTCAAAAATGTCACAACTCATCGAAAAAGTTACAACGTTTTAAGAGAACTTATGCTATTCAAATAGATATAGATGGGTGTTTTAAGTAGGGGTACACTACTAAAAAACTGTCAAAAAGAGACGGAAAAAAGCGATGGACTGCATCGCTTTTTTGGCCAAAAGCGACGGAAAAGTGACGCTTTTTGGCTCGATGCTTTTCCAAAAGCGACGGACTGCGTCGCTTTTTTTTTTTAAAAAAAATATTATTTTTTTTGAAGAATGTGACGCTGTCCGTCGCTTTTTTTATTTTTTTTTATGTTAAAAAAGAGACGAAGTCCGTCACTTTAATTAATTTTTAATTTTTTTGGAATCTTGAAAAGCGACGGACAATGAGACGCCGTATGTCGCTTTTCTGGGTTTTAAAAAAATAAAATTAAAAAAAGCAATAGACTAAAGGACTCTATCCGTCACTTTTTTGGGTTTTTAAAAAAATAAAATCCAAAAAAGCGACAGACAAAACCACCTTGTCCGTCGGTTTTTCTGTAATTTTTTTGACAGCAGAAACTATCATTTCTACTGCCCACCCGTAAATTCAATTCAGCCCCAATCAAACACAAAACATTATAAAGAAGCTACACAAAATATAAAACAACAAACTTAAATTAACATTCAAAAATATCTAAATCACAATTTAAAGACTTATAAAGTCTTTCAAAATTCGTTTTAAAATTACACAAAATTCATTTCAAAATTACAAATAGTTCATAAAGACTATATTTTATCAAGATTTCTAAAGTTCAACCTATTAATTAGTTCTTAAATTCTATAAATCAAGATTTCTAAAGTTCACAACCTAAAGTTTAAAATCCTACAATAATTCAAGATTTCTAAAGTTCACAACTTAAAGTTCTAAAATCCCACAATAATTCAAGATTTTTAAAGTTCACAACCGAAAGTTCTAAAATCCTAAAATAATTCAAGATTTCTAAAGTTCACAACATAAATTCTAAAATCCTAAAATAATTCAGGATTTCTAAAGTTCTAAAATCCTACAAAAATTTAAGTTTTCTAAAGTTCACAACTTAAAAGTTCTAAAATTCCACAATAATTCAAGATTTCTGAAGTTCACAATCTAAAGTTCTAAAATCCTAAAATAATTCATGATTTCTAAAGTTCACGACCTAAACTTCTAAAATCCTACAAAAATTCAAGTTCTCTAAAGTTCACAACCTTAAGTTCTAAAATCCTACAATAATTCAAGATTTCTAAAGTTCACAACTTAAAGTTTTAAAATCCCACAATAGTCAAGTTCTCTAAGGTTCACAACTTAAAGTTCTAAAATCCTACAATAATTCAAGATTCCTAACATTCACAACCTTATAAAGTTCTAAAATCCTACAAAAATTCAAGTTCATATGACATATCTAATTTCTAGAATTTCTAAGGTGAAGAATTTCCAAGTTCAAGAATATAATTCAAGTAACCCAATTTTCAACAACAATATAATACATATAAAGCACAAATACAATGGCAAATTGAAAAATTCAACTAATCTCTAACTTCTAGCTTCTAATTATTTGTTAGTTCTAACTTCTAATACTTAATTTACAATCATATTTTAAAATCCCCAATTTTCTAACTTCAACTTTCAAACTTACTAAATTCAAGAACTTCTAAAGTTGGAAAATTCAACTAATCTAATTTCCACTCTCATATACTATCCAATATTTTCTAACTTCAAAGTAATCTAACTTTCATATACAATTCAATGTTTTTCTAACTTCAACCATCAAACATACTAAATTCAAGAATTTCAAAGTTGGAAAATGCAACTAATATAACGTCTAACTTTATAACTTCGAACTTCTAATTATTTGTTAGTTCTAACTTCTAATAATCAATTCACAATCATATTTTAAAAAATTCCAATTTAGAAGAAAACCCTGAAATCAAAAACCTCCAATCCTCTCCCTAACTAACAATAATCAAATATACAAATTAACAATTGAATAACACAATTCATCAAACTAAAACAATATACCAATTTATAACAAATCAAATATTACTAGAATTGAAAAAAACTAAAATTAAACCCTAACCTTAACAAGCTAAGGAAAAGAGGCAGTGGGGCCGACAAGTGGCGGCGCCGACGGGGCAAGGCGCCGACGGGACTAATGCTCAAGGAGAGAAGGGCGACGACGGTGTGGGGTGGCGGCGGCGGCGGCGCAACAGTTTGATTTTAGAGAGAAGGGAGAGAAGAGAGAGAAAGAGAGATGGGAAAATGGAGGGAAAACCTGCTTTTTGGTTCAACATAATTTAAAAAAAGCGACGGATAGCATCTCCTTGTCCGTCGCTTTTTTTAAAATATTTGACCAAAAAGCGATGGACTAAGAGACGCTGTCCGTCGCTTTTCTTAAATGTTTGACTAGTCATTTTGACCAAAGAGCGACGGACTTAGAGATGCCGTCCGTCGCTCTTTTAAAAAAATAATTAATCAATTAAAATTAATTAAAAGCGACGGACGGCGTGGTTAGTTTTTAATTTATAAATAATTCTTTTAAATAAAAAGTGACGGATTGCGTCGCTACCTATATAAAATAATTAATTATTGATTATACATATATTTGGCGCAAAAATCCACGAAAAAAGCGACGAACTAAGAGATGTCGTCCGTCGCTTTTTGTAAAATAATTTTAAAAATAACTTTTTTTATTTAAAAGCGACGGACGGTGTGGCAATTGGCGTCGCTTTTTTGTCCGTTGCTTTTTGGCAATTTTTTAATAGTGGTATTATAGTAATTTAACATTTCAAGTTAGGGAGTTCATGTTTTTAATAGATACATAGATATACATAGACATTTTATTGTCATATAAAATAAGTCAGCTTGTGTTAACTGCTTTGTTGATCTTAGTAGAGGGGTTGGTGGAAGAAGAAAGAAAAGGTATTACGTGAGTGTATAATTGGAGGATTCAAATTTCATTAAGTCATGATGACACTGCAAACCATACATCATGAACATACCCAAAATGGAAAACAATAAAATACATAAAAGAGTAAAATACCCCAACAAGTGATATGAATTACAAGTTAGATATGCCAACAAAATACAAGTTAGATATGCCATCTTTTGAATACAAAGATGAATAAAAGTGAAAAACTCTAAGATACTATGATGAATTAACAGTGGTAGATTGTCAAAGCTCTCTTATGAAGTTGTAAACACTTCAAAGTTCAAATATTAGTTTTGTAAATACTTCAAATATTAGTTTAGCTATGTTAAATACAAATGATCGATAAGCCTCGGGTAACAAGTGAAGAGCATAATGTGAATTTATAATATACTAACATCGCATTCAAACATGCCAATAATATACACTATTATTTATATTTATTGATAATACAAATATATGATTCAGTGTTTTAAAAGACTCTGTTAGGACTCGCCCTAGGGTGGGGCTCTAGTAAAACGCCCCGAGATTCAAGTGTGGGCTTAGTTCTATAAGACTTACTCTCTAGGCACCCGACTGTACGCCCCAAGCACGCCCAACGCTCGGGGCTCGCACAACAGATCTTACATAAATTATGGATTAAAATCTTTAGTTAACTTTATTGACCCTAATAATTCTTGAATAAATGAATGATACTTAATAATTTTAAATCTATAGAGATAAGAATATTGAGTGTAACTCAAATAACAAGTTGTAGTATCGCATTTTTACTGTTAACACTATGACGATGATTATATATTACATAATATTTCTTTCAAAAAACGTAGCGAAATTTTACTTTTTCACTTATCACAGGTCTTTATGGTTTTGTCATATGTCTCAAAATTATCATATTTTATTTAGCTATTTGAAAGTAATTTTATTTTTATTCGATGTTTTTCTTATAATACTAGTAAGTTTTATTGATTATTTTTTAGAAATAATGTTTCTTTTATTATTAGAAAGTTAAGATATTAGATTAATTATACTTGAATAATCATGTTAGAAGTTTTATTTTTTCTCTAAGTTATTTTAATCATGTTTATAATTATTTCAAACTATTGATATATTTTTGTAATTGTATTATTATAATATTATACCATATTATAAATAAAAAATTTAAAGATCCATAGGACTTACGCACCACGTTTCGAGGCTTACGCTTCGCCCTATACTAAGTAAAACGCACTGCCTCACGCCCCGCCTTTTAAAGCAGTACGCAAAAGTTATTGGGTTTGTCGTAGTTTTGCCCTTGCCGACCCCTGATCTCTTCTTTTTATTGTAAATGCATATGCACCAGGACATAGCTTTTCAACTCATTTATCTAAAGTTATGTCTCATTTATAATTTGTGTATTTTTTATGTGCGCAAATATCACAGACCCATTTTGTACTACTAGTACTGCCTTCATCACTGAACCAAAAGCAACTATTTCTAATTATTTTATATTAATTAAAAGTTACAACTAAATAAGCTATAAGATATCAATTAGATATTTTATAAATGAACATTTCTAGGAGTTGGTCATGGACTAATGACTAAAGGTTGGTGAGCCTCAAGTGCAACCACATTACAAATCTAGAGATGTAGAAACTACAGTTTCTTTCTCAAGGCTTCAGACTAACTGGTATCACTTCTTTCTTTTTTTTTCAAAAATTTCTTAAGCTACTCAAGCTGTTATAAGAACTCGATCATTAAGAAACTTGTCCACACGTTCTCCAGTTTAAAGTTTTATAAAAGGAGGTTTCTAGTATTATGTCTTCTTAACTAATTTAATGAGATTTATCTTTCGTCTTCATTTTCACATGGTATCAGAGCCTAAAGAGAAGCAGAATTACTCAACAGAGAGAAAATACATCTGGCATTGCACAACCCAAGGGAGGGAGTTCCAAATTCCTCTCCCTTAAGGCTTATTTTCCTGATTTAGCAATCTGTAATACACTTCCAAGAACAAACTCCATGTGTTCCATGAACTCTATGTTCTTTCTCTGATCATTAAATCTTGATGATATTATAACAATATGTTTCTCCACATATTCCCCAGAAGCATTGCCTATTTACCCCTCCAGAAAATTAGGTCATCCTGTTGCTTCTCTCTCCTATCATCAAAACTTTCCTAGTTATGGCAAACAGGTATTGAACAACTCTATCATGACGAAGAGCATCCGGTGATTGTATACCTCAGTCAAAATTATCAATTTTGACGGGGGTAACTTCATCAGCCACTTCAAAATGTCCCACCAAACGCGCAAAGAACACCATCTGTTGTTCAAGGGTGAATTTAATGTTTTCTGCCTGCATATGACCAAAAAAAAGAATCAGCTAATTTCCTCCAAGGCTGACAGGTTATAAGTTATCCTCAAAGTCTGGAATACATACCTTACGGAAACCATGCTGCTCTCCTTCATATTCAACGAGTGCAACAGGCAACCCTTTTTCCTTCAACGCTTGGTAGATTTTGCGTGCTTGATCAGGTGAAACTACCTGTAAAAAGGGATGGAAAGCTCAATTCTACCAACAAGCAACAGCAATTAAAAACAAAGGTAGATTGCTTCATTTCTCCCATTTCCATTATCATGTTGTTTAAGGTAGAGGCCATAACAAACCATATGAAATTGACTTGAACTGTTTTAAAGATCCAAAAGTTATACTAGCTAAATATCCAACACTTATGATGAGCAAGGCAAAAGACCATGCACTTCGGTGCAAGCTGCGTTTATCAATTGAATGTATTTGCATCAAAACAATTTTCCAGAAAGATGGTACTTAGTCACAGGATGAACATGAATAGAAGGTTTAAGAACTTACTATTTCTGACAAGTTCAGCAGATCAACCTATTGCATAAAATACAAAAGGCATAACAAATAAACGTGTCATTTAACTTGGCCTCATCTGGCACCTATGCCCTCCAACTTTGGTGTGCACAAGTAGGCATTTAGACGTGTATAAAGTTGAACAAATAGACACACGTGCCTTACGTGGCATACTATAAATCAGCTCGAGTGTATCTCACGCAAATTACCATGTAAGACGTGTGTGTCTACGTGTTCAACTTTATACAAGTTTAAGTGTTTACTTGTGCACACCCAAAGTTTGAGGGCATAGATGCCAACTGAGGCCAACTTAAAGGACACGATTATGTATTATGCCAATACAAAAATATATCCAAAGAAAGAGGAAATATGAAAGAGTCAGCTTGCCAAAGACTAAAGGAGGTTGTCAAATATTTATGGGGAAGAGAGTTGAGGGAAAAGATCAATGTAGGCAATTCTTCTATAAAAGAATGACATATGCACAAGATTATGAGGTAAACTCACATATGGTCACATAACTATCACTTGTTTTTACAAAAGTCACTTAACTATTTTTTCCAACACAAAAATCATCATACTTTTTGATACTAACTAAAAAGTCACAAAGCCGGAAAATGCAAAACTTTCCAATGATAACTCTTTTATAAAAATCTAATAAATAAAATGAACCCAAAATCCAAACTCATATGAAGAAAGTAAATATCAAAAGAATAGAACCAAAAAATTTTGAGGGGGATTGATCGAAGTTGTGAAGGATATGTACCCTAATGATGATCATAGGAATTGTGTTAGACATGTATCAAAATTTCAGACAAAAACACAAAGCCAAGACTTTGAAAGACTAAATTTGGAATGGAACAAGAGCGAGTAATGAGCCTTGTTTAAGAGATTTATGGACGAATGCAAAAATGAGGATAAGGACCGTCATATCATATATCATATATACATATATATACAAAACCCTAGGCCCACCTACGTGGCGCCACCACAAACCAGGATTCCCTTTTAATTTATTTATTTCCAAAACTAGCCTTCCCCTTTCATGAAAAGTTGTGACTTTTTATGAAAGGTAGTGACCTTTCCGAAGGGTTGTAACTTTTCCAAAGAGTTGTAACCTTTCCGATAAGGCACAATAAGCATTTGTTGACACTACCCATTGTTGTCTATAAATAGAGGGATTTCCTTTCATTTTAAAACAACGAAAATTTTGAACTTTTTCTTCTTCGTGTACGACACAATTGTTTTAGTATTAATACACTGGTGAATAGAATTGTTCCATCTTGAGAGGATCTATTCTTTTAAACCTCGGGTACTAGAGGAGAATAATTTCCTTAAGGGGACATTGTGCATTTAGTGAGCTCGATTTTTTCCTTTCTGATTCATTCTATTGTTACAGATCCTGGTATGTTTTTTTACGGCCATTAATTTATGCTTATGATATTAATTGTTGTTTTTGAGTACATGTTTCAAACTTTGTTGTTATGTTTATGCAAAGTTATTGTTATAAATATTTGTTAGTACAGATTAACTAACACACGTTAATTGAGTATTCTTGCAAGTTTTCTCTACTGAAATTGTTGAAGATACAAAAAAAAAAATCCTTGAAGATCTATACTACCATCTCTTGAAGACAAAATTCAAATTTGGTATGCCATTGTAAGGACATAAAGACCTTAAAAACTTTATCGCACCTTGATGTGCGAAGTGAACCAGGAAAAGAAAACAAGAATTAATAAACTTTTGACATGGGTTCAAAGATGTGCCGGATGACCTATAGAGGAATATGACTAGACTGGAGCCTCTTTTAATTCCAAATACATAGATAACTACACAATAAACTAATTGCTCATATTCAATATGAAGTATGGACAGATTCTCAAGTTTACTGCAAATTGTAAATACTTTTCTTGAAGTAATAAATGTGTTTCTCGACACTGCGAATGGAATAGAAGTGTAGTTTCAAATTGAACTTCATCACTCCTGTATGTTGATTTTTAAAAAACACCCAAACAAACCGAATAGTTTTGTGTAATATTTTTCCCTTTCAAGTATATATAATAAGTTGAATTGTTGTCCAATATGATACATTCTCCCTTTCATTTTCCATTTTAATAATTACTTATGACACATTTAAATGGGAAACTTTAAAATAATATATGTAAAGCAAAAGGTAGGGCTGAACTTCTACACGTTAGAATTAGAATATTTGTTCACTTTTTTCAGCCTTTTAAATCTATTTATCCCTTCACCAACGATTATTTATTTATTAGAAAATTTAATATCTCAGGTTGATGTTCATTTGATTCCCCAAAACTATCAAATAGTAACAGTTCCTGGAAGCAAAAGGATAAATTATAAAATCAAATTAAAGATGATTGATTGAAGAATAAATGATAAGATATTATAATTATCATTTTTCTTTACATTATTAATGTTCGTTACTACGTAATCTTGTATGTAAGATAATATAGTGTTTTAGTTTTAATGACTGATAGGTTTTAAGTATTAGTTTATAAATTCTGTGATCTTAAATTCCTGCGCGAGGCGCGCGTAATTTTACTAGTTCTTTTGATATTTTACTTTCTTCATATGGGTTTGATTTTTGGATTTTGGGTCAAGTCAGGTCAAAGCTTTAACTGAATTTCAATTCGTATTTTTTTTTTTTTAAAAGTAAAAAGGAGTTGCATTGGAAAGTTTAGCATTTTCGGGCTATGTGACTTTTTAGTTAGTATCTTTAAGTTTAATGACTTGTGTTAGAAAAGATAGTTAAGTGACTTTTGTGAAAACAAGAAATAGTTATATAACCATATGTAAAATACCCGAAGATTATGACATTAAAAGGGACATGTTGTGCTTGCCTTGTCCTCCAATCCTTGAAATAAAATAATGGGGCAGGAAAAGTGGTCTACAAAATTGATAGGCGACCTCTCAAAATATGCCTTCTCGTCCCCTGCAATTATTCAAAAGGCCTCAACACATACTGATAAACATCAATCAGCAGAAAGACTTAAAGCAAATAGATTGTTAACATTAATTGATTAGATAATTACCAACTAGATTGTCAGTATAGTGAGATTCGAACTTGTGAGTTTCTGCTCTCAGCAATTGCAGATCACCAATCTGTTCAATGAAAGATGATGGCATAAAGCATTGAAACTAAAAACTGGTTGATAAATGATACATAAGAAGCTTTGAGTAAACTTATGAACCAAACTGATGCTGTTCTACATTAAAGATGATCATCTAAGATAACAGAATGCCCATATATATAGGCACCAGCCTTAACTACAAAATTTTCTATCATATATTATTTTTTTGATGACCGTGGTGCCTGGCCTAGCTTGTGCGCACCTCGACTAATTCTAGGGGATACCTGCCGCCTCCCACCAACAACAGGTACCATATCACTATGTCCACCAATTCTATAACAAATGGAAAGAAATCACCCAGTGTTTTTGTCAAAACTAGAACCTAAGACCTCATGGTGCTCAACCCACTTCATTGACCACTAGGTCACACCCTTGGGTGTATTTTCCATATTTTTATGATCAGTTTCTGGTTGCACACGCGAGATCAGGTAGGATATGGAAATGCGATATTACTTATCACAAACAAATTTCATGATTCACTCACACCATACAAGGAAGCTCCAGCCTTGAAAACATCTTTAAATGCAAGTGCAGCTAATGTTGTATAACCACCAGCTGAACTCCCTGTAATACAAAGTCTTTCACTGTCAACCCTTCCACTGTCAACCTGGATGAACAGACTAATTTACCATGACTTACAAAATTATTAGCAGCATTAAAGGAATATATGAATAAACTCAATTTTTTGATGTTACCAAAAATTTGGCACAATTGCAGCAGTCGTTAACATCCACGATTCCCCAACTTCCCAATAGCCTTTCTCTATATTCTCTGCCATAACCTTCATATGAGCCAAAAACAAAATGATGTTAACAAACTTAACAGCAGCTAACTAATCTACCACTGTGCCATACGCCATCTTGATTCCTTGGTCGCCTCTGCTTTTTCTACCAATATAAAGTAATTTCGTACATTTCCTTTTTATACATATCAAAGGTTCTGACAATCAGTCAATAAATGCAGGAAATGATGTTCCCTCAAAAAACTTAAACTCTCAAAATAGTCCCCTAATCAAGAAACAATATAGAAAGAATAACAAGCCAACAATGGAAGGAATAAAAAGGCCATGTGTGTACCAGTGCTTCCACCATAATTCACATCCACATAGGCCCAACCACGACTGGTCCAATATTGAATGCTAAGATTTAAACATCCCCGTGCTTCAGCTGTAGGACCTCCTGGATCATCATAAACTATACATTAACATCTCATACAGAAACCAATTAGTCCAGCGTTTTAACTAAGAAAATCAGACAGGAAGAAGCAGTTCTAATGAAGGAAACAATAACCATGACTTCGCAAGAGCAATGGAGGTGTTTCTCCATGACTAGCTTGAAAGTCGGTGTTTGTTGGTGGATAAAAGTATGCATATGCACATTGACCGGGCACATCTGTTGGGAACTTTATCAACTCTGGCCGACTGTAATAGGAGTTATACAACTCACTAACAGATGACGACGACCACATAATCTTGAAATCAATTACTTTTGTTCTCTGATCATCCAAAGTAACCTGCAGAAATAACAGAAAAAATGCTAAAAGAATGATCTAGAATAGTTTTATAAGTACTGTTTTCAAAATTTCAAGCAACTAGAAAGTTTGTCTAAAGAACCTTAGCTATTGACGATGGATGAACAGAAGATGCTCCTTCAACATACAAGCCATGAACCCCAGAAGTCTGTTTAGGTGATAAGGTATTTATCAAGACCAGCACAATGATAAAAACTCATAAAGGACACTAAGAGCCTGTTTGGATTGGCTTAAAAGTTGGTCAAATCTACTTGTAAGTCATTTTTAGCTTTTGAGAGTGTTTGACAAAGTTAAAAATAACTAAAAATAAGTTAAAAAAATACTTTAAAACAGATAAAAACAAAAGTAGGAGTACCTACTTTTTATTTTGACTTAAAGTCATTTAAGTTTGACTTTAAAAAGTTAATTTTTGAAAGCTGCTTTTTTCAGCCAATCCAAACGGGCTCTTAAGTACAGCTTGTGCTACCAAGAACTTACTATGTTGTTTATATCTGTGAAAGGAATATCAAGCACTGATATTTTGCCTAGGTTAACATCCAAAACTCCAAGATATGACTTCCCATTCTCCCTGCACATATTTTTCAATTTAGATTAGATGAACTGCATCAATTTGAATGATTCCCTTCCCCTGAGCGAGAGGAAGAGGAATGTGAGAAACCAGATAAAGAACTTCTTTGTTACCAAAACAATCAGAATAAAAGCACTATGATTTCAAATATCATGATACACACAAAATATTAAATAGCAAACTACTCATCAGCTTGACCTGTAACTGCAGGCAATTAAAGTATCTTGGTCGTGGTTCTTAAGAAAGTCATAAGACTTCATCCCAAATACCCATAAGGGTCTTGTAAACTCAGCATCGAGGGAGTAAACTGGTAGCACCTCGTTAGAAGACTCTACCTGTCAACAATAAATAAAACAGGCCAATCAAGTTTACACTGTCTCACTTAATGTATGAGTTCAGTGCCAGCAACAATAACAAGGATGTGTTACTGGTAGATATTTCATTATTTTCCACATAGATGCTGAATCTTTGATGCATATTCCAGGCCCAATATCCAGCACCATAAATAACACGAAAAATGGAAGTCTGCTTGTGCAGAAACTGAAATAAGCACAAAAGCTTGTTTTTCTTTTTCACTTTCCCTCTGTACCTCATTACTGGGTCAGGGGAAGGGGCCGTGGCAGAACTTCAGATTATCTCTTTGGCATATAGTATCCATAAAGTTGGATTATGGTTAGCGTGGGAAGGGTAAGGTAAATTCTCTCTTTTATTATGCAAAAGTTCATGTAAAAGTTAAATGTTTTGCATTTTCCATCCAAATAGTGTTTCAGCGGAGGACTGAAAGTGTAATGCTTATGTGCAGAGGAGTTGTTTGGCCATGAGAATTATTCACATTTATTCTGGAATACTTTTTCACTTTATTTCAAAATCAGTGTTAAGTTATAAAATTTCCAAATCCAACTTGGAGCTGGATTCTAAATTAGGAAAAGTGCTCCAAACCTATATTCCAAGTTCCAACTCCATCTCTATAAATTCCAAACAAAATGTTCTCTTCCCTTCTTCGCAAAAAGTACAACCAAATCCATCTTCAATTTCAACTTGATAAATTCCAAATAAAGTGAAAAATATTTGAAATAAATGGTCAAACGCTTAATAAGGTAGTGTCTGTTAAACACTAAATAATACGACTAAGTTAGAGTTGGAGGCCATTATAGCAATAATTTTTTTTCATATTCTTATAATTGCAGTATCTAGCGAATTGAAATTTTTAAGCCTTGACTCCAAAATATCAGAGTTTTAACCACTTCATTTCTTATTAATGCAACTTCACATCTTCTATAACAAGAATGTGGTTAATAAAGAGCCAGACTGAAGGTTCCCCATATTTGTAATGCAATAGAATTTAAGCTAATGCAACATCTACCAAGTATCCACAACTTTAAGTCTTAAGCAAGTCAAAAACACAAGGGTCAAATTCGTAAAGAGCAAAAGAACGCAAGTTTAGGCTAGAACTCAAAGAAGATGAGATGGTTATTAAGAAAACTTTTAAGCAACTAGATGCAATCATACCCTAGAAGAGAAGTTCAAGTTAAGCCAGTAGGCTAGACAGAAGATAGACATAAGAAGTTCAAGTTTAGACATTAGGCACGATAAAAGATTATACAACAGATGGCAGAGATTTAATCAGTATGACACTATGACATCACACGGATGAGGACTTACCCATTTGTAGATATTCCAAAACCCACTTTTCCTGTCAGTTACAAAGTACAGCTCCCCTGCACCCGAAAAGAATAGCAAATAAATGCAAGGAACAAGAGAAATCAGTCTTGGCATATTGCAAGTATAGAGCTAATCATGAAACAAGATCTAACATGATCAAACAACAACACAGGATATAGAATCTTACAGTTGAATACTAAGGCATATATGAACTCAATATTTTTTTTTTGACAAAGGTAACATTTTTGTGTATTAATCTTCAACACTAAAGGCTGGGATCCCAAATTTACATCATGGAGCTACATACAGTTGTGAGTACTCAAAACAAAACTAGAACCTACTTCAACTTACAAAGAACCTAGGATATCTATAACAACCATAGGATCATCTACATTACCAGTCAAAGTATATCCTTTTTTGTTGATAATTCAATAAGCTTGATTCAAGAAGATTTTATCCCCTAGCTTAATTATAGATATTATTTTATTTGATTAATTATCATCCCTAAATTAGAGATAGGACTAATTTACAAATACTCAAGCTCATATGTTGTACAAATATAATGGAATACAATAAAACTTTCTAATTCTCAAAATCTACATGGTATTAGAGCCATTGTTGTCTTTTTTAGGTGAGTTTTCTCCCTCACAACACTAGGATTCGAAGAGGTTTGAGTTTTTCTCTCTTTTACTGCTCCACTTTGTTTCCAAAGGTTGTGCATGTCGGAGTTGCTTTCTAACAGTGGTGTCCAAAAACCAACACCACCACAAGCTTCTCCTTGCACCGACGACCAAAACCCAGCAAGAATCTCTGCTAAAAAACACTACACCCGCTATTGACAACACTATCAATCACAACGTGTCAATAACACGCACCAGAGAGTAGGCCCTTGTCCAACGACTTACTCAGGGAGATCTTTCCTCTGGTGGTTGTTGGCCTATTCCAAGCCTACCCATCCAGGTCCCACTATTTTCAAAATATTGGATCTAAGTTTTCCTGCATACCAGAGCACTGAAATGCTGGGAGTCCTTATTTGATTTTTGAAAGTTTTCCTTCCTTGGATTAGTACTGGGAAGCATATATAAGAGAGTCAACGAGGGTTCATGCTGTATTCGGCACCAACTGAGAAGTCTGGGCTAACTGTCTCATGAGCAACCAAGGGCATCCAATTCCGATAATGACCCACCTTCACTATGATTATTGTGGAAAACCAAAACATACAAAGGACACATACTTAAAACTACATGGTATTACTAGAAACTCTTATCCTTTGAGTGATAATAAAACTACAACTCCTTTTGCGACTATACATGATGTATAAAGTCCTATTCAAACAATTTCTTTGCCTGGTACTTGATGGTTTGTTACTTAAATTGACTGTTGCACTAGGATGAATTAGGTGTATATTTGTTAGAGGCCAAATTTGAGGTTTTTTCGTGCTTTTAGTCCTTTCATAAGATGATTTGTACTTAATTAGTGGCTAAGATTAAAATCTTGCGAACTGATTATTGCATAGAGTACTTGATTAAGGATTTGGTGCTTATCTGGAGTTCAATGAGATAATCCATCAACCTAGGTGTCCCTATACTAGTGCACAAAACATGGTTGCTGAAAAGGAAAAATAGGCATTTGTTAGAAGTGGCAAGATCTCTTATGTTAAACATGAATCTACCAAAAACCTATTGGGGGTGTCATTCTAGTTGTTATCTTATCAATAGAATGCCACTTAAAACCCTCAATTTTCAAATTTCTTTAGAAACTTGAAAGGGTGAGAATAAATATATTGTTCCTATGGAGGTGTTTGGCCGTGTGTACTATGTTCACACCATGATCTAGGAAACTTGATACTAGAGTCCTTAAGTTTGTCTTTACTAGGTATTCTCCTACATATATATAAAAGATACACATGCTATCACCCTCCCTCCAGCAGATCCTTTGTCAGCATGATACCTTTCGAGAGTATGAGCCCTATTTTAGTATTACATTGTCACCTCTTTAGGGGGAGAGCAATAGAGTTCTCCTTATTTCCATTATTGAAACCAATACCGGGGGAAAGTGAAATTGGAGAAAGAATTCAAGGGGAGACTATTGGTCATTTGAGTAGACCTAATTTGATAACGTGCACAAGGAGAAACAGTGCAGAAAAAGAAATCATGCAATTTGCCGAAGTTAAATCCTCTTCTACTTGTGAGTTATCTGCATTCCCTAATGAATTAGATTTGCCAATTTCTCATAGAAAAAGAGTCAAATCTTGCACCAAATATCCTTTATCTAATCTTCTCCTATCCTTTATCTAATCTTCTCCTATAATTCTCTGTCTCCCTCCTATAGATCCCTTGGCATTGTCTATTTCTTTTGTCTATTTTCTAGAATTGTAGGGAAGCTTTGGAAATCCTAAATGGAAGCAGGCTATAATTGAAAAACTTAAGGCCTTGTCAAAAAATGAGACTTGGGAACATGTCACAGCAAGATTGACGGCTAGGGGATTGACTTAGACTTATGGAGTGGATTATCAAGAGACATTTGTCCATGTTGCTAAAGTGAACACCATTAGAATTCTTTTGTGTTGTGTAGCTAAGCTTGATTGGGACTTGCAACAATTTAGAGAAAAATGCATTTCTTCATGGAAACTTAAAAAAAGAGGTGTATATATAGATCCCTATAGAAAGTTTCACTGTGTACTTGGTGTGTATTGGGTAATGCCAAGGACTACTAAGGACGTATTATACAGCTGGGAGGAGATAGGAAGAAGAGGTTCTGGTGAAGATTGGTGGGAGTTAATCCCAACTTGCATCTGGTGGACTCTGTGGAAAGAAAGAAATGCAAGATGCTTTGAGGATAAGAGAAACAACACCCAGAAGATTAGAATGAATTGCCTTAGCCTTTTGTATTTTTGGTGTAAGCAAAATATGGTGGGGAATATAGAACTTTTTGTTGATTTCATAGGATATTTGTGATCTCCCATAGGATAGTTTTGACATGCTCTGATGAGATTGTAAGTGACCTATGCTCTGTTTGATGATGAGCCTATTGTGAATACACAATTACCTTTATCTCAAAAAAATTATAAAGATCCCTATTGGATTTGATACTGAACAAAGTCAAGGTAAGGTGTACAGATTGCAGAAAACTTTATACGGTCTTATGCAATTCCCTAGAGCTGGTTTGATAGATCTTGTAAAGCAACGATCTTTTTTGGCTACCAACAAACCAATGTTGACCATACCCTCTTCGTGACAACAAAAGAGTAAACTCACTCTTCTCATAGTTTATGTTAATGACATAATAGGAGATGAGAAAGAGGAGATAATCCAATTGAAAAGTTGTTGGCACAAGAATTGGAAATCAATGATCCAGGAAAATTACATTTATTGGGAATTGAAGTTTCTATGTCAAAAAGAGGGTTCTATCTCTCAAAAGGAAGTAAATTCTAGATTGCCAAGAGACTGGTATGATAAGTTGCAAACCAGCAAATTTGCCCATCGAAAGTAATCACAAGTTTCAAACAGGAGTCGGAGAGCAAGTTGATAAGGAGAGATATTAGAGATTGATTGGAAGAATCAATTGCTCACACACACTAGACCAACATAAACTATTCAGTCAACCTGATGAGTCAGTTTATGCATGACCACAAAATATCACTATATCATCAGCATACTGTAAATGACATACCTCCATTGTCGCCCTACTGTCTTCTATCTCAAAACCTTTAACCCACCTATTCTGCAATGTTATCCTCATCATGCTATCAAATCCTTCCATTGCTAGTATAAACAGGAAAGGAGACAAGGGGTCACCTTGCCTACCTAAGGCCCCCCTTTCAGAAGCAAAACACCCACAGCTTCTAGTTTCTCCATTCACAAGAAAAGAGAACCTACCAGTTTAAATGCAAAATTCTATCCATTTCTCAGCCCATTTGTCTAATAAGAATATTCAGCAAGAATTTCAAGTTGACATGATCATAAGTTTTTTCTATGTCTAGCTTGCACATGACACCTGCTTTTGCACCTTTAAGTCTAGAGTCCATAAATCATCAGCAATTAGAGTTGCATCCATGATCTGCCTCCCTCTTATAAATGTCATCTTATGCTTGTTAACCAAATTGTTAACTACCTTGTTAAGTCTTTCAGCTAGTAACTTTGCCACAATCTTGTACATTCCACCTATGAAACTTGTAGGTCTACAGATTTTCAACTCTGAAGCTCCTAACTTTTTCTGGAATCAAAGTTATGATGATTGCATTGAAGCTTTTCTCAAACTTCTGATTTTCATGAATGTATTGGAGTGTCTTCAAAATGTCCTCTTTCATGAGCTAGAAAAAAGGACATATGAAATCCATCAAGCCCAGGTGCCTTCTCCATTGCAGACAATTTATTGCTTCCTAGGATTTCTGCCTCATCAAATTGTCCGTGTAAACCCTCTTGTCCTTTGACAGAGATCTCTGTAACTTCATGTAGCACTAATTCTGGACTTCACTCTTCAGTCTCCATGTTAATGTTCTTGTACAAATTCTGAATAGCTTCTTTGATCCCCTCAAGATTTGTCACCTCAACACCCTCCCACACCTTCAGGTTATCTATGGAATATGCCCTTTTATGAGCAGTAGATATCCTACAGAAATATTTTTTATTTTTGTCTCGTTTCAACAATTGTATCCTTGATGTTTGTTTCCATACTATCTCCTCGTTTTTTGATACATCTTCAAACTCCATAGCTGAATTTGACTTCCTACATTATCTCATCATTTGTGAGACTTTGTTCTTGGATAACCTCCAAGTTTGTCAATTGGTTGAGAGTGTCTTCCTTTCTCTGTTTCCAGTTGCCCTGTTATAACTGTACTTCACAGCGTAAACAAAAGAAATTGTTCCAACTCAGTGCAGTCATTGGCTTACTTTGCTCTCTCAAGCTAAAATACAAGCTTATTCTAAGTGCTCATCTACAGCAAAAAGAATAGTAGCTCAATTATCAAACTGCTGAAATGCTTTTTGCAGGCAGATTAGAAATACCATAGAATACTAGCTCTGAATATAAGTGGATCAAGAGTACACTCCATATCTTCTACGACATTTCATAGAGAAATGAGGCAAATCGAAGAGATAGTTACAGGCTAAATAACATTTCCAGATTGTACAAGAAATCAACAGCCAGTCCAGTGTTTGCTGAAGAAGAACTTAGTTAGTCCAAATTGCAGAGTGTACATAACAGGCACCTCCCAAATGGTTGTCTCTTTGTTTTGCAATGAGAAGTTATGCTTCAGTTCCAAGAGTTGACACGTAATATCTTCCACAACAAAAGGCCTGACCTTCCGAACCCCATTTTCAGATATAAAGATCTTGAATTCCAATTTATGCTACCAAAATCCAATAATATTCACTAAAGCACAGGACTAATTTTTAATATTTCTCTACTGAGACTAATCCTAGAAACAGAGAAGAACAATTAAAGTTTATACGATGCACATGCTGGCATTTAGTCAAGAGTACCTTGAGAAGACCATAGGGGTTCAGTAGGAGATTCCACAAGAGTAGGATCACCACCAGCAACACAAATGCGGTTTTGCACATCCCTAGGGGAAAGACAAAGAACGGCAAAGAGCAAATCAACAAGTAGATGGTTATGTTCCTCATATACCAGGACTCATAATTTAATTATTTATTTGGAAAGTGGTGATAACTTATGCAGGCCTAAACAAAATTTGATCTTTCGGTGGATGTGCCTCCTCTTGTTGGTAGGAGCGTAAGTGTGTCTTATAGATGCACATGTCTGTGTGTTTGTGACTGTGTGCACATGTGGGAGAGAGGGAGGGAGAGGGAGGGAGGGAGGGAGGGAGG